CAATATGTTCGGAGATTGCAGCGATGCTTTAGACAATAATCTAAGTTCTAAGTTTAGTGAAGATTCCTTGTTAAATTAAAAAGTTTTCTATACATGAATTTGAGTGTGATCAGTCAGATTGTATGGCAGCTATTAGCTATGGCGGTCCGATCTGAACTATTTTTTCAGAGATTGTAGCAATGCCTTGGAAGATACCTTTTCAAATTAAAAAGCTTTCAAGTTTTCAGTTCAAGAACTCGAGTTTGATCAGTCCGTTTGTATGGCATAGTTGACCGATTTCGGTGGTTCTGACAAATAAGCAGCTCCTTGGTGAGAAAATTTCGTGTACAAAATTTCAAAAACCGCAGTACTAGTTCGTGCATATATGATACAATCGACTCAGCTCGTCACGCTGATCATTTATATGGTATACATATTTATTTAAAGGGTCCTCGACGTTTCCTTATGGGTGTTACAAACTTCTGTTCAGGGTATAATTACCTCGCCTGTATGTTCCCGTAGCTAATTTTTAACCCAAAAAAGTTTTATAATTAAGCACGAACTCAACAGTCGGATTATATCTCGATTCGTGAGAACGAGTTACACAATATTCCGTAAGTGCCGTTTCAGACAGGGACTCAAAAGAGTCGCACTTTTTTCAAATTTTCTTTTGGTGTCGCTCTGGGCATTCACACGGCCAAAAAGAGTCCAGCAACTCGAGTCTAGTTTTTCTGCATTCCTTTTCACAAAATGTTCGTAAATATTTGTGCGGTTCGACTGCGCAACACCGCGCAACACTGCGTGCTGCGTATTTCATAGTATGTTTGTATGTTGAAGTGAGCGGTTAGTAATTTTTTTTTCGAAAAGGTTTATATTAATTAAAAAAGAGGTGAGTAGTTTAAATTAAGTTTCGAAAGTTTTGTATTTTATGCATATTAATCCTTTGATTTATTTATACAGATATGACGGAAAAAATAAAATGGTCAAAAGACCAAATTGAAAAATTAATACAATTGGTAGAAGGTAACGAGTGTATTTATAATGTTAGATCTACGATGTATTTGGATCGAAATGCCAAAGCTCAGGCGTTCAACAAAATAGTTCAAGATTTAGAAATGCCAAGTTTAAATGTTTTTGAGGTAAAAAAAAAATGGAAAACCTTAAGGTCGCAATATTTGCGAGAAATTCGCGAATTCCGCACTTCCAAAAAAAGCGGATCTGGGGTGGATGACATTCCTACACCAAAATTGTGGTGCTTCTCCCATTTAAAATTTCTGGAGTCGTACTCACAAGTAAGGAGCGGAGAATCAAATTGCGAGGTAATATTTTTAATTAATTTTATTTATTTCATATTTGTATTAATACAAACAAATATTATACTATTATATAGGATCCTGGTTCGTTGATTGTTATTTTCGAATTGAATTCATTGAGACAATTAAACGATACACCAAGTACCCACACGACTTCGGCAGAAGTTATTGATATAGTAAGTAAATTTACCATGTCTAAGTAAAAGAAATGAGCTTAAATATATTTTTATGTCCATTTTTAGACTAATGATAGCAGCTATAGAAAAGAAGCAGGAAGAAAACGGGGAAAAGAAAATGCATTCCAAAAACTCAAGAAAGACGTGGCTAATTTTAAGGATCGTATGAAAGAAAAGCGAAATAGGCCATTTAGTTGGTTGGGGAATTTAGTAACCACTAAAATGGAGGAGATAATTCCCGAACTACAAGATGATGCTGCATGGGAGATACAGTGCCTTATGCGACGATTGGTGCAACAATCAAAGAGTGCATCGTCATCACGCGCCCTTCCCTCTGATATTCTCCAGAATGCCATGAGTGGTGTTTTCGACGAAAGTGATTTCGTTCTTTAAAGAATGTGATGAATTAAAATAGACTGAAATGTTAATTTTCCATATTATGTATATAGTTTAGTTGAAGCAAAAATGTGATGAATT